ACCAATTAAAACCCAACCCCCATACTCATTTACGGTAACCAGTGCTTCCTTAACACCCCATCTCCATTTAAAGAAAGGGACATTATTAACATGCTTATAATATGTATATTCTATAACCACTCCTGCTTCCACTAAGGATTTGAAAACAGACACCATACAAATATCTCTTCCTGCATTTTTTTCCTGATGAGATTTCAAAATTGCTCATTTAGCTTGACCTATGACAAAATTAGCAAGTACACATTGTTCTTGTAAAGATTTCCTATAACAACAGCCCAATATAAATAAGCTATTAGTATACAGAAACCCTAATTTTGTTATTATTTTTCTCAACATTACAAAAATACGATCAAGTCTAGGGCAGTCACAAAACATGAAAAATAGTATCCGAAGCATCACAAAATGGGCAATTCGATGTAACATTTTCATTCTATGAGAGAGCGAGAGAGAGCAAGAGAGAAAGAGAAAGAAAGAGAAAGAGAGACACACACACACATTCGTACACCAAACACGAAAACACTTACACACTGAATTCTAAATTCACAGAATTTTTGTAAATGTTCATAAACTGTTCTATTTTATTTTTACACTTAATTTGTACAATTAATTTAATTTTGTACATTTTGATGTTGATGCTATTTTACTATTTTGATGTCTTTCTAATTATTCTGTTTTCCAAGCTTTGGCAATATTGTATGATGTACAGTCATGCCAATAAAGCAATTTTGAATTGAATTGAATTGAGAGAGAGAGAGAGAGAGAGAGAGAGAGAGAGAGAGAGAGAGAGAGAGAGAGAGAGAGAGAGAGAGAGAGAGAGAGAGAGAGAGAGAGAGAGAGAGGAGGGAGAGAGAGAGAGAGAGAGAGAGGGAGAGATGATGATAGATGCACAACAGTGACGCTGCAGTTTGATCATCCTGGAGTCGTTCAACATGTCCATATGTACCTCTTGTATAATAGGATCGTCATCGTCTCCACTGGCCATAATGAAGACACCGCTGGAACACTTCAAACCTGGAAACACAAGAAACAACACCACCAAAACATGTGCTAGTAAATATATGGATCAAAACACAATACTGGGTCTCGGCTTGTTGGGAATTAAATTGTCTATGTTTTCAACAACCCAAGACCACTATTGTGTTTTGACCCATATATTGTGGTAGTAAATATATATGTATAGTCAGTCACACGCATTATTATACATAAATACACTTATAGACACTTATAGATGTTCAGTTTAAGAATGATTATGTTACAGAACCTTATATCTTCCTTAATCTAAAGAGAAGGCAGAGGTCCCTTTGTGCTCAATTGAGAACTAGTACTTTACCTCTGGCAGTGGAGGTGGGTCGATTTAAAGGTATACCTGAACATTTACGTTTGTGTGAATTTTGTGATCTTCGGGTTGTGGAAGATGAATTTCTATTGTCCTTTATACTGTGATTTAAGGAACTCTCTTTTTTAATTAATTCAGTTAAAAAATCCTGATATATTTTGGAAATATGAAGGGGAGATTTTGTGCTGGCTGTTTGAAAATGATGTTTTTGCTTTGGCAAAATTCATAGAAAAGGCCTGGTATCTGCGGCAAAGTATCTTGTATCCCATATGAAAAGCCCTCTCTATTTGTATGTGTACTTATTTTTAGTGGTTTAGTTATGCTATGTTGGGTTCTGTGTTATGTCACGTGGCTACTTGGAGATATTTGTGAAATTATTATTGTAGTGTCTAATAAGCCCATGAGGGCTGGGCACCATTGGTGTTTGACACTTAAATAAATAAATCAATCAATATAGACAAAATAATTATATGTAATAATAACTATGTCATATTTACGACATAGACTATAAATATAACCTTTTATTTTAAGATAAACTTATATATTGCATGCACCGATATGAACATTTTGGCCGATACCGATAATTAATTATATTTAAAAGCTGATTACTGATATATTGGCCGATAAATATAAATGTTTATAGAAATTTTGAGAGCCTGATTACAAGAATAAAAGTCTCACCATTAAAGCCATGTCCCAAACACACAATTATAATGATGTTCTCATAATTAACGTTATATAGACTTTATGACAGACTTGCGCTGCACATGTTGCACCTTACTGTATTTTCCTTTTTTTAAGTGATTCTAATCATATTTCAAGCAATTCAAAACCATCATGTTTAACACGAACAGTGCGCATCTGACGTGTCTCAGCTGAAGGAAATAATACTTTATTTATCAGCTTTAATATATCAAACAAGTTATCTTATCGGCCGATAACTACATTATAAAAATCACATATATCGGCCGACACTGATATGGTGGCTGATATATCGTGCATCCCTATTATATATATATATATATATATATATATATATATATATATATATTTTTTTTTTTTTTTTTTTTTTTTTTTTTTATTATAGCCAGGCTTATGTAATCTATTCATTTGTAACTGTCAATCAATCACTGTTTGTCATGATAATTAGCAGGCAACGGTTTAGTCAGTGAATGATGCAAGGGCGAGCAACACGATAATGACGGCCAACAACTTTAAAGCATACACGAAAGGTAACTGACGTTACATTAAATTAAAAGTAAAATGTTAATAAATAGTCCATGCTAAGGGAAACTGCCAGAGTCAGCAAACGATCAACATGCTAGCATGCGTTAGCAGCTCTTCAACACAACGACACGCAGATCACGGAGAATATCAGAACATCTGCAGTCTGTATGTGCTTATATACATGCTGTATGTGCGTATGAAACTTTTGATACAACATATCACTGCCAGCATGCTGTGAACACACACACACACACACACACACACACACACACACACACACACACACACACACACACACACACACTGAGGCCTCGGCTGATCCACTAAACCAACAAAACACTGACGGTAAAGTTGAGATCTGACCTGTGCTTCACTGGCCGCTCGTGCTCGTGCTGTGAACTCAAAGCTCCTTTAGCTGTGTATGTGTGTGTGAGTGTGTGTGGATGAGAGTCGCTGTTTCTACTGCCATGTTTCTGATCACTGCAGTCAGTCAGCCAAACACGTGGGGAGGAGCCGTGTGCGCTCACCACTATCCCAGCATGCACTGCGGCCGCGACTCACTGGCCGCGTCACAAATCCCGCCCTACAGAGTGTGCTAGTGGCTAGTGCCTATAGTTCCCTACCTAGGGAACTTACCATCTAGTTGTACATGTGCTGAAAGACATTATTTGCCACTTTTGTTACAATTCCAAACATAATATATTGATACGCACGTCATGTGTGAAAATATTAGGCCTGTTTTATTGCATACTCAAAACATCACCTATGATATTAGTCTTTAGTCAAGACAAAAGAGTCGGTTTAAAATGTAATTTTCACCACTTCACTTTCACATAAACTTTTTAATTACAAAAATCAAACGTGATGCATACCGGCGATACATACATGGATCATTTCTGCCACAAATCAGAAAAATATGCTTTTGGACATCATAATTATGACATAAAAGTCGAAAGAATGAAATACTAATTATATTTATGACATTCTAAGTCATAATTAAGACATTAAAAGTCAGAATTATGACATACTAAGTCAAAATTATTATTTAAATTGCCACAATTATGATTATTATTAAAAATTCATAATTATGACATGGTCAAAATTACGACTTTAAAGTAATAATTATAACATGAATGACAAAAAGTCATAATTTCAACTTTTTTTATCGTAATTTCGTAATTTTTATTCTCATAATTATGACTGTGATTATGACTTAAGTCAAGTTGAAATGTTTATTTCATATATTTAACTTTTTGTCACAATCACTGAATGACTTAGTAATACATTTTTGTCATAATTACTGAACGACTTAAGTGTCATAATTATGACAGAGATAGTCATAATTTTAACTTTTTATCTCATAATTTTGACTTTTTATTTCTCATTATTTATTTTCAAGTCAAAATTATGACATACAAATTTTTTATTTCATATATGTCAATCACTGAATGACTTAGTGTCACAATTATGAATTTTTATTATTATAATTATGACAGAGATGGTCAATTTTAACTTTTTATCTCTTCATTTTGACTTTTCTTATTATTATGACTTTTTTGACAGTCAAAATTAGTAAATTTTTACTTTTTATTTCATATATTTATTTCTTGTCATTATGTCATTGTCATTTCATATATTTATTTCTTGTCATTATGATGTCATAATTACTGAACGACTTTGTTATGTCATAATTATGAATTATTTTTCACAACAAAACGCTGTCGTTTCATCCCTTGTTGTATAGTTGCATTGATCTAAACTACTGTTTACTTCAGTCTAAACTATGATTACTATGAAACTGCGGTATCTTTATAATAAATAATTTAGTATTATTCAATATAACATAACCTTTGCAACCCTATATGTTCAGCACATCCTCCGCAACACAAACACACACTTACTTTTCATTCTGGCAGCTTTATTTTATTAGTGTGAAATTGACTAAACAGACCTGAGAGTGACAGAGGAACATTAAAGGATATGATTTGTTGCGTATCTTGTGAAATCATAATGAAAATTTAAACTATAAACTCTAATGTAATCTGTCAACTCAATATATTGACAAGCTTTATTTAATACATATTTTATTAGAGGTTTGCTACTCTTACTAGTACTGTAGGTAAATTGCTTTTATACACAAATTTTAAACATATCAGTTCTGCCTTCACTAACCAGCTGAAAATGATTGTTCTTCTTCATAATATATTAAACATGTGCATGCAGGTGAAACTGGAAAAATTAGAATATGGTGCAAAAGTTCATTTATTTCAGTAATTCAACTTAAAAGGTGAAACTAATATATTATATAGACTCATTACATGCAAAGTGAGATATTTCAAGCCTTTATTTGTTATAATTGTGATGATTATGGCTTACAGCTTATGAAATATTTCACAATATTCTAATTTTGAATTTGGGGTTTTCATAAGCTGTAAGCCATAATCATCAAAATTATAACAAATAAAGGCTTGAAATATCTCACTTTGCATGTAATGAGTCTATATAATATATTAGTTTCACCTTTTAAGTTGAATTACTGAAATAAATGAACTTTTGCACCATATTCAAATTTTCCGAGTTTATGTATAAACGGACATCTGTGGCAAAATATGAATTCACAGTTGTAGTTAGAATCGGCAAATGCATAACACACACATTTGCTCTAGTTAAAATGTGATTGTACTTGTATACGGTTAGCCTGATCTGGAAACACTGAATCTGATGGTGTTTATTACTCATGTTTCTTATTTATATCAACCATAAACATGTCTTTATCAACAGATATGATGTTTATGAGTGATCTGCATCCTTCAGGTGTCCTGAAAGCTAACCGGAGGAAACTCCTGCTCATCATCCAGACGGAGCGATTCATCTGCAAACTCATGATCTGGGATCAGTTCTCCTCTCTTCACTCCTCCATCCTCAGAGTAGCCTGGAAGAAAAGTGGATCATCCTTTATCTGTCAATCTTCAGGAAGTGCTGTGAGAACCAGACGTTTGATATATGTGACCCTGGACCACAAATCCAGTCATAAGGGTCCATTTTTAGACATTGAGATATATATATCAAATGAAAGCTTACTAAATAAGCTTTCCATTGATGTATGGTTTGTTAGGATAGGACAATATTTGACCGAGATACAACTATGAAAACCTGGAAGGGTGCAAAAAAAATCAAAATATTGAGAAAATCGCCTTTAAAGCTGTGCATTTATGTTCGCGATTTTGCTGCATCCACTCACAAAAATAAAATTTTGATATATATAAAAATTTACAAAAATAAATTCACAAAATATCTTCATGGAACATGATCTTTATACAGAAGAGGATTAGGGCCAAGCAATAATAAAAAAATGAAACCATCTCCAGATTAAAGTCATTATAATGCAAAATTAAACTCGTTAAATTTCGAGAAAAAAAACTCGAAATCCAATCTTGAGAATAAACTCATTAAATATCGAGAATAAAGTCGTTGTGTTTATTCTTGAAATTAAATGAGTTTATTCTCAAGATTATTTCGATTTTTTTCTCGAAATTTTACGAGTTTTTTTCTCGAAACACAATGACTTTATTCTCAAAATTTACTTAGTTTATTCTCAAGATTGTATTTTGACTTTTTTTCTCTCGAAATTTAACGAGTTTTTTCTCGAAATGTAATACGTTTACTCTCAAAATTGTATTTCGACTTTTTTCTCGAAATTTAACAAGTTTTTTCTCTAAATGTAATGAGTTTATTCTCAAGATTGTATTTAGACTTTTTTCTCGAAATTTAACGATTTTTTTCTCGAAACACAACGACTTTATTCTCGAAATGTAATGAGTTTATTCTCAAGATTGTATTTCGACTTTTTTTCTCTCGAAATTTAACAAATTTTTCTCGAAATGTAATGAGTTTATTCTCAAGATTGTATTTAGACTTTTTTTCTCAAAATTTAACGAGTTTTTTCTTGAAATGTAATGAGTTTATTCTCAAGATTGTATTTCGACTTTTTTTTCTCAAAATTTAACGACTTTTTTCTCGAAATGTAATGAGTTTATTCTCAAGATTGTATTTAGACTTTTTTTCTCGAAACACAACGACTTTTTTCTCGAAATGTAATGAGTTTACTCTCAAGAATGTATTTCGACTTTTTTCTCGAAATTTAACAAGTTTTTTTCTCGAAACACAACGACTTTTTTCTCGAAATTTAATGAGTTTATTCTAGAAATGTAATTAGTTTATTCTCAAGATTGTATTTCGACTTTTTTCTCGAAATTTAACGAGTTTTTTCTCGAAACACAAGGACTTTTTCCTCGAAATTTAAAGAGTTTTTTCTCGAAATTTAATGAGTTTATTCTAGAAATGTAATTAGTTTATTCTCAAGATTGTATTTCGACTTTTTTTCTCGAAATTTAACGAGTTTTTTTCTCGAAACAAAACGACTTTATTCTCGAAATGTAATGAGTTTATTCTCAAAATTGTATTTTGACTTTTTTCTCTAAATTTAAAGAGTTTTTTCTCTAAATTTAATGAGTTTATTCTCAAGATTGTATTTCGACTTTTTTTTCCGAAATTTAACGAGTTTAATTTCGCATTATAATGACTTTAATCTCGAGATGTTTTTTTTTTTTTATCATTGCTCGGCCCTAATCCTCTTCCGTATCTTTACTTAATATCCTAATGATTTTTGGCATAAAATAAAAATCGATAATTTTGACCCATACAATGTATTGTTGGCTATTGCCACGAATATACCCGTGCGACATGTGACTGGTTTTGTGGTCCAGGGTCGCACACTCCTATTGGACGTACCCGTGAGGGAACTCGAGGGTTGATTGGTGTTTGTGGAAACAGTTTCTGCGTAGGATAAACCTCCCGCCTCCAGCGCCGAAGCTGCCGGGTTTTCATCCGCACTTTCATACAGTCTATCGGGACAATTATGTGCAAAATCAGCGTGAGGTTTCACCATCGACTTCTCAAATATGGCACAAATATATTTACAGTACGTGTGAACTTGATTTTGAGTGTTTATACAGTCAAGAGGTGAATATGTTTCACTGAATCACACACCTTTGCTTAAATTACTAAATACATACAAAGTTTTATTAAAAACATGGACAAGAACAGCAATTTGTGTCAAATTGGACAAAAGAAAGTAAATAAATGTTATATTTCATGGCTTATTGTGAATAAAATTAGACAAAAAAAAAAATTAATATTTTATGGTTTATTCTGGATAAAATTGGACAAAAAACTAAATCAATCATATATTTTATGGTTTTAGATTAAAACAACATGCACAAGAACAGCAATTTGTGTGGTGGCAACAATGATATTTTAACAGTTTTGAAGAAATTATATATTTTTTATGCTTTATTTGTATATCAAATTTGACACAAAACTAATTCAATTATATATTTTATGGTTTATTGTGAATAAAATTGGACAAAAAAATTTAAATCCATTATATATTTTATAGCTTATTGTGTATCTATTTGGGAAAAAATATTTAAATATATTTTATGGTTTATTGTGAATCAAATTTAACAAAAACTATAAATCAATTATACATTTTATGGTTTATTGTGTATCAAATTGAATCAAAAAATGAATTATTTTATAAAAAAATAAAATAAAAAATATTGTATGGTTTATTGTGAATAAAATTGGACAAAAAATGTAAAAAAATATATTTTTTGTTAAAATAATAAAATTAAAAATATGGTTTATTGTGAATAAAATTGGACAAAAACTGTAAATCAATTCTATATTTTATGTTTTTTTGTGAATAAAATTGGACAAAAAATGTAAATAAATCACATATTTTATGGCTTATTATGTATCAAATTTAACAAAAATGAAAATAAATTATATATTTACGGCTTAATGTGTATCAAATTTAACAAAACATTTAAATTAATTATATATTTTGTGTTTTTTTGTGAATAAAATTTGACAAAAAACTAAATCAATTATATAATTTATGGTATAGTGTGAATCAAATTGGACACATTTTTTTAATAAATCATATTTTATGGCTTATTGTGTATCAAATATAACAAAAATGTAAATAAATTATATATTTTATGGCTTATTGTGTATCAAATTTAACAAAAAATGAAAATAAATGAGATATTTTATGGCTTATTGTGTATCAAATTTAACAAAAAATTTAAATAAATGATATATTTTGTGTTTTTTTGTGAATAAAATTTGACAAAAAAAACAAATAAATTATATAATTTGTGGTATAGTGTGAATCAAATTGGACAAAAACTGTAAATCAATTCTATATTTTATGGTTTATTGCAAAATAAAATTTTAAATACATGTTATATTTTATGCTTTATTGTGAATCAAATTGAACAAAAAATTAAATCAGTTATATATGTTATGGCTTATCATAAATCAAACTGGACTAAATCAATGTAATATTTTATGATTTATTGTGTAAGAAATTGCCCCCTCCCTGTAAATCAATGCAGATATAATCATGATTTTTGAACCCAATGAATGATGTGTAATCCTCTGGCTCACCGGTGCTTCTGGACTAAACGACAGTCTCCTCCGTCCTGCAGATCGAGGTTGTAGATGTAGAGATGACCATCTAGTGAAGCCACCAGAAGACGAGGAACCTTCTGGATCCTGCAAGCGAGGGCGTATCAGCACAGACAACAACATTCAGGAACTTCCACATCTCCATAAGCTCATTCAGTGTGTGTTCGGGACTCACATGGAGAGAGCGGAGATGTTCTTCATGCCCGGCGCGCTGAGGTGGACGCTAGCAAACGCTCTGTCCTGATGCATCATGTCCGACACCTGAGAGGGAAGGAACGAGCTGGCGGCAGAAAACACCTTCCCCATATATCCAGACCAAGAGGGAGACTCCGTACTGTTTTCATGAGCACACACACGACATCATGAAGCAGCAACAACCAGCATGGAAGTCCATTAAGCTGCTCTTTTAACTTCTGAGAATCATGACTTGTTCGTTTAATATAGAGAGCACACGATTCTGAGTACAACTAAACAAAATAACATATAACTTACTAGACAATTGTAATATTAAATATATAATGTAAAGATGTAATTCATCTGAATTACTCCACTTGTTTCATTACTGGATGAATCAGCGTTTTTGAACAAATCTCTTGAATGAATGATTCAATGACTCACTCATAAATACTCCACTTGTTTCATTACTGGATGAATCAGCGTTTTTGAACGAATCTCTTGAATGAATGATTCAATGACTCACTCATAAATACTCCACTTGTTTCATTACTGGATGAATCAGCGTTTTTGAACAAATCTCTTGAATGAATGATTCAATGACTCACTCATAAAAACTTCACTTGTTTCATTACTGGATGAATCAGCGTTTTTGAACGAATCTCTTGAATGAATGATTCAATGACTCACTCATAAATACTCCACTTGTTTCATTACTGGATGAATCAGCGATTTTGAACAAATCTCTTGAATGAATGATTCAATGACTCACTCATAAATACTCCACTTGTTTCATTACTGGATGAATCAGCGATTTTGAACAAATCTCTTGAATGAATGATTCAATGACTCACTCATAAATACTCCACTTGTTTCATTACTGGATGAATCAGCGATTTTGAACAAATCTCTTGAATGAATGATTCAATGACTCACTCATAAATACTCCACTTGTTTCATTACTGGATGAATCAGCGATTTTGAACAAATCTCTTGAATGAATGATTCAATGACTCACTCATAAATACTCCACTTGTTTCATTACTGGATGAATCAGCGTTTTTGAACGAATCTCTTGAATGAATGATTCAATGACTCACTCATAAATACTCCACTTGTTTCATTACTGGATGAATCAGCGTTTTTGAACAAATCTCTTGAATGAATGATTCAATGACTCACTCATAAAAACTTCACTTGTTTCATTACTGGATGAATCAGCGTCTTTGAACGAATCTCTTGAATGAATGATTCAATGACTCACTCATAAATACTCCACTTGTTTCATTACTGGATGAATCAGCGATTTTGAACAAATCTCTTGAATGAATGATTCAATGACTCACTCATAAATACTCCACTTGTTTCATTACTGGATGAATCAGCGATTTTGAACAAATCTCTTGAATGAATGATTCAATGACTCACTCATAAATACTCCACTTGTTTCATTACTGGATGAATCAGCGATTTTGAACAAATCTCTTGAATGAATGATTCAATGACTCACTCATAAATACTCCACTTGTTTCATTACTGGATGAATCAGCGATTTTGAACAAATCTCTTGAATGAATGATTCAATGACTCCCTCATAAATACTCCACTTGTTTCATTACTGGATGAGTCAGCGTTTTTGAACGAATCTCTTGAATGAATAATTCAATGACTCACTCATAAATACTCCACTTGTTTCATTACTGGATGAATCAGTGTTTTTGAACAAATCTCTTGAATGAATGATTCAATGACTCACTCATAAATACTCCACTTGTTTCATTACTGGATGAATCAGTGTTTTTGAACAAATCTCTTGAATGAATGATTCAATGACTCACTCATAAATCCTTCACTTGTTTCATTACTGGATGAATCAGTGTTTTTGAACAAATCTCTTGAATGAATGATTCAATGACTCACTCATAAATACTCCACTTGTTTCATTACTGGATGAATCAGCGTTTTTGAACGAATCTCTTGAATGAATGATTCAATGACTCACTCATAAATCCTTCACTTGTTTCATTGCTGGATGAATCAGCGTTTTTGAACGAATCTCTTGAATGAATGATTCAATGACTCACTCATAAATCCTTCACTTGTTTCATTACTGGATGAATCAGTGTTTTTGAACGAATCTCTTGAATGAATGATTCAATGACTCACTCATAAATCCTTCACTTGTTTCAGTACTGGATGAATCAGCGTTTTTGAACGAATCTCTTAAATGAATGATTCAATGACTCACTCATAAATCCTTCACTTGTTTTATTACTGGATGAATCAGTGTTTTTGAACAAATCTATTGAGTGAATAATTCAATGACTCACTCATAAATACTCCACTTGTTTCATTAATGGATGAATCAGCGTTTTTGAACGAATTTCTTGAATGAATGATTCAATGACTCACTCATAAATACTTCACTTGTTTCATTACTGGACGAATCAGCGTTTTTTGAACAAATCTCTTGAATGAATGATTCAATGACTCACTCATAAATCCTTCACTTGTTTCATTACTGGATGAATCAGTGTTTTTGAACAAATCTCTTGAATGAATGATTCAATGACTCACTCATAAATACTCCACTTGTTTCATTGCTGGATAAATCAGCGTTTTTGAACGAATCTCTTGAATGAATGATTTAATGACTCACTCATAAATACTCCACTTGTTTCATTACTGGATGAATCAGTGTTTTTGAACGAATCTCTTGAATGAATGTTTCAATGACTCACTCATAAATACTCCACTTGTTTCATTACTGGATGAATCAGCGTTTTTGAACGAATCTCTTGAATGAATGATTCAATGACTCACTCATAAATCCTTCACTTGTTTCATTACTGGATGAATCAGTATTTTTGAACGAATCTCTTGACTGAATGATTCAATGACTCACTCATAAATCCTTCACTTGTTTCATTACTGGATGAATCAGTGTTTTTGAACAAATCTCTTGAATGAATGATTCAATGACTCACTCATAAATACTCCACTTGTTTCATTACTGGATGAATCAGCGTTTTTGAACGAATCTCTTGAATGAATGATTCAATGACTCACTCATAAATACTCCACTTGTTTCATTACTGGATGAATCAGTGTTTTTGAACAAATCTCTTGAATGAATGATTCAATGACTCAATCATAAATCCTTCACTTGTTTCATTACTGGATGAATCAGTGTTTTTGAACAAATCTCTTGAATGAATGATTCAATGACTCACTCATAAATACTCCACTTGTTTCATTACTGGATGAATCAGCGTTTTTGAATGAATCTCTTGAATGAATGATTCAATGACTCACTCATAAATACTCCACTTGTTCCATTACTGGATGAATCAGTGTTTTTGAACAAATCTCTTGAATGAATAATTCAATGACTCACTCATAAATCCTTCACTTGTTTCATTACTGGATGAATCAGTGTTTTTGAACAAATCTCTTGAATGAATGATTCAATGACTCACTCATAAATACTCCACTTGTTTCATTACTGGATGAATCAGTGTTTTTGAACAAATCTCTTGAATGAATGATTCAATGACTCACTCATAAATACTCCACTTGTTTCATTACTGGATGAATCAGTGTTTTTGAACAAATCTCTTGAATGAATGATTCAATGACTCACTCATAAATCCTTCACTTGTTTCATTACTGGATGAATCAGTGTTTTTGAACAAATATCTTGAATGAATGATTCAATGACTCACTCATAAATACTCCACTTGTCTCATTACTGGATGAATCAGCGTTTTTTTGAACGAATCTCTTAAATGAATGATTCAATGACAGATTTTGTCGCCACCTACTGGTGTAACAATTTAACTGATACTTTCGTTATTTTAAGGATCAAATTACTTTCAAAAGGTGATTTACTCTATTTTGATCACACATCCGCCAGTGTTTATATCTTAAGTATAAACTTTTATTCCAGTACTTCCGTGATAATTTGAGTGATTGTAACACAGAAATAATGAAACTGTGTGGTTGAAAAGACTGTTAGTGACGCTGTTTCATACCGATACATGACAACGGCTCTCTCTGGATCAGAACACAGATCTGAATGTTCACTGTGATCGGACTTGTCCAAGCTTTAATAGGCAGAGCCGAATCACTGTCATACAGGAATAAGTTCGTGTGGGTGTTTGAATCGAACTCACGATCGTGAAGCTCTACTGTAAAATGCACATCATCTGTGATGCAGTAAACATGTTTTGTGAGTGGATGTTGTTGTGTGTACCTGGGACTATGATGCTCCAGTCTGAAGATATGAACAGTCTCTGTGTTACTGGAGGCACATAGAAACTGTGCGTCGGCACTGAACGACAGGGAACTGATGCTGACATACCTGAACACAAACAACCACAGGCAACACATCTTTCACAAATGAATACTTGATGTTTCTGTCATAAAACACTCTTTTCACACTCTCAGGGATTTTTCCATTTAAAATGTTTCAATGTAGTGTTGCATTCGAACACTTTTGCAATTAAATAGCCAACTCATTTGTATTACAGTTTATGTACAATTATATATTTTCACACGTTGCTTAATTTGCCAAAATTACAGCTTGATTGGAAATGCCATTTATCTAAAGTGTAAAACATTAATATCTATATCAGAGGTTTATTTGTATTTATTTGATGCCTTGAACCCCCAAATTTAGTGATCCTTCCAAAAACTTTATGGAAGATATATTTATCCATGTATAAATGTAATTTATACTGTTTGAGGAAAAATATAAAGTTTGACATTTTTAAGGCAGCAAAATTTAACACTGCTTTCAAATTCTGATAACTTTTGTATTGTCATTCAAAGAATTGTCAATTAAATTAAAATAAAATAAACAAAAAGTATTTTTTCAAAAATGTTTTATTAATGTTTTTATTGCTATATAAACAGTATTTAAATAATTATATATATATATATATATGTATATTTCACTTTCATACATATATATATATATATATATATGAAAGTGAAATATATATATATATATATATATATACATATTGACGGCCCTAAAAATACATTTGTAATTTTCTCTCTCAATTTTTGAGAGTAGCTAAATTAAATGATGAAGGCATTGTAGGACATTTCAGTCTTAATATGAGAAAAAGTCATGTGATATTTTGGAATTAACCTCTGGTACATACAGTTAAAGTGCTTGTAGTTGAAGAAACACCCATCAATTGTTAAGGTATCTGAACGTATTTATACTATATATAGCATTTTGAAACAACGTGTATTGTGAAAAGCACTATATAAATAATCTCTTACCTCTTCATCCCTCTGCGAAACTCAAACAGTTTGTCTCCGTCAGGAATGCTGAAGACTCGTATAACAGTGCCCTGGGTTATTACACAATCAAACCCGGTGAGAATAATGAGATCGAGAGTGTTTGAGAAAGCAACCTTCTCAGACTCACTTTTTCAGAAGCACTGGCCAGACTGGTTCCTGAAGCGCTGAAGGCGACGGCGGCCACATGACTGGCGTGAGCCGGGATCACAGTCACCTCCGTCTGAAATAACCAGAGGAGAGATTTCAGCTCCACATGTGGGAGATTCAACGGGGTTCTTGCCTATGAAGCTTGTCTCCGCCACAGAATAAAACATTTTAAAAGAGAATTGCAACCCTTTATCTCACAATTGCGAGTTTACATCTCACAATTCTGACTTTATTTCGCAGAATTGCAACATATAAAGTCAGAA